AAATCAGAACACTCCACGATATAAACAGAAGTACGATTTTCATTATCATTGGAAACGGTTACACGGCTCACAGCCATTACATTCATTTTAAATAAACCATTGTCGAGATAGCCACGACCAAGGAATTTACCATACTTGCTAAGAATAAACTTCTTAGCTTCAAACACTAACTTAAAACCATGCTCTACAAGAAGAGATCCGGAGACCAAATTCTTGCGGATGTCTGGGACATGCAGCACATCCTTAAGCTTTAACTCCTTTCCAGAAGTCAGCTTCAGCACCACGATGCCAACTCCAGCCACATCAGACGAGGAGGAGTTGCCCATGTGGAGCTTCCGACCATTTGAAGGAGTGTACTCAGAAAACAACCCCTTGTCGGAACACACGTGGCGAGTGGCACCAGTATCAATGTACAACGCTGTTGTAAATATTTTCCGGAGTTAAATCAAAAGATTCGACACCGGGTCGTGTCTCTCGAGGAAGGTCAGCCGGATTATTTCGTACGATTATTCAAACACGAGAATGAAAAATAAAAAAGGTGAAATTTCTAAACATTCTAAATCTAAATTTGGTTGGTTTAATTATTAACTACTTCAAATAAATTAAATAAAGCAATTAAATAGCAAACGGACACGTAGAACAAATAAGATTAAACGAGGCTAGGGAGTCGGGGATATCCGCTCTGGTTCAAGATGCAACTAACGGGCAAGTGATTGTTCAGCCAAGAGATTCGAATAATCTACCTAATCAAACATTCATTCTCAATAACTTTTCGTAACAAGAGAATAAACAAGAACGGCAAATTAACGAATCAATTAACTCCTAGGCAATACAGTTACGAACAAGCCTAGTTCATGCGAATCTATTTCGACCGACTCCTCCCCTTTCGGTTCTAAGAGTCGATTAAATAGTCCTAAAAGATGGTTAATCAACTAGTCGATATCGGGTTAACAAAATCACGCAAGAATGAATCAAATTCAATTAAATAATTGCAAATCGAAGTGTCACCCTTCAATAATTCTCAACATTCAAGCATAAATCGAAAACCCTAATTAAGCATGAATCGCATAAAATTGAACAATCTAGGGCCCGACAATCACACACGAATTCAAAGCATCGATCCCCTATTCCCTAGCGATTAATTTAGCTATTCATAATTGAATTAACAATCGAAATCATCACAATCGAAAAACCCATATTCACCAATTAAATGAAGAAGAAAATCTTACGATCGTTCAAATCCGAAACCACAACTTGATAAACATGCTTGAATCCAAAATAAATAGCAAAATCCGCTTTGAATCCGAGTTCTACGATCCGAATTATAGAAGAAAAGTGAAAAGATCAGCTTTTTTCTTAAGTTACGAACGGGACAAAAAAAATCTTAAAAACCTAGGCAGCAGAATCATCCCCTCTCGTAATTCGGTTTCTGAATTTTAAACTCTGTGGAACGCACAGGTCGCGGCCGCGGGAAAATTGCGGGTCGCGGTGACAAAGAGATCCGCGGCCGCGAACCACCTCGAGGCCGCGTGTTTTC